TGCTCTTCGTTAGAGTCATGGAGGCCCTGGCGGCACTGATTCGAGCCCACCCAAACATCAGTAAAATAGCGATCCCGGAGATCCCAGACCACCTTATCCCGGTCACGTCACTGTTTGCTGATGACCTCACGGTCCTGATACGAGCGGATCGAGACAGTCTGCATGCCCTCACCCAGACTATACACCTCTTTTCAGTGGCAACAGACATGAAAGTGAACAGGGGCTCAAAGACGGAGGGATGGTGGCTCCACCCGCAGGACGTGCCTCCACCACCGCACCCGTGTGTGGCATGGGCGAGGAAAGAAGATGCCATCAGGATACTAGGAGTGAAGTTAACGGCAATGGGGCCCCCGGTGGATCATGGAGATAACCTTGTGAACATAGCAATAGACCGCCTTGCAAGATGGGAGGGCCTGCACACATCATTGGTGGGGCGGGTGCTGACAATCAACAACTCCATCCTCGCAGCTATATGGTACAAACTAGCAGTGTGGCCACTCACACCACAACAATATACCAGGTTGCGGAAAACGCTCACTTCCTATCTCTGGAAAAACAGCGCTAAATCCGACAAGTGCCTGAACAGGGTGTGCTGGGATACCCTCACACAACCAAGAGCCACGGGGGGAATGGGGATACTGGACCCCCAAAGGGTGACTGACGCCATGATGTTCAAAGTCATAACTAGACTCCTTATGGGAAACAATATTCCATGGAGACCCCTCGCCTGCGTGCAAATAGCTGGGCTGACACCGGATTCGGGGCCCTCCAACCGCGTGCACCCGTTCCAATGGCTAACAAATAACCACTGGTCCATCCCGGGCCCTCGTCGCCACACACATGCGACCGGCGTGTCGCATGCCACCAGACAGGATATACACAATGATCCCCTCTGGTCGTCAATGATTAAATTGTGGTGCACGCGAGGCCCCAAACAAAAGCGCACACCCAATAGATGGCGCACATTACGGAGGCAGCCGCTGTTCGGAAACCCCTTCATCCATGATGAGAATGGGAACCCCTTTATGCTCACAACCAACTCACCCTGGCTGACGTGGGCAAAGAGACGAATTTACACAGTGGGCGACCTCTGGGACCAGGCCGAACAGAAATGGCTCTCGTTGGACTGCTTGCGAACCAGACTGAAGCATGTCAGGAACATTGAAGAGAAGGCTCGCCAACTCATCGATGCACTGCCTCTGGCCTGGCTGCAGACCCTCAAGATAAGCCCGACGGTTCGATCGCAAGACTGGGTGGTCAGATATGTGGACCTGCCCCGTCCGGAGATAGTTTACTGGGTCAATAACATAGAGTGTGGGAGGTGTAAAATGGATGCTTTCGCCCCGCACAACCCGGGAATGCAGATCTCTCACCTGATACGAGACGAGGACTTAGACATCACAGAATCATGAGGGGGGCTGATGAATGTCAGAGTAGTGGGGGACCAAGACAAAGGATTCCAGGCATACGAGCCGTCCATGCCCATCGCTCTGCTCCCCTTCGACCCTGACGAATGGGAGTGGACGGGCCAACACAACTTGCACATCTGGGACTATACGGTCAAAGGGGGGTACAAGGCAGCTCGGCCTCAGCAGCAGATTGCACAAACAATCTCGCGGAGATGGGAGCGAGACTCACCACTGGACCCACAGCTGCTACATAGCCTCCCCTGGACCAAATATGCCAAACTTATGCCCACAAATCTCAGATCTTTGAATGGCAAATTCTGCATCGGTGTCTCCCCACCCGTGATTGGATCGTATCCAGAACAGATCTCGAGCAAAAAAGACTGTTGTACCCGGTTTCCAGCAGGTGCTGCTCCCCATCAATAGATGGAGCCTCCCCGACAGTGATAGCGGTGTCTGCTCTTACCAGCACCACTACCMCCGCCTCGGGTTGTTYTGTGTAAAAAAAAAAAAAAAAAAAAAAAAAACCCTGGATGGGGATCCGGGCCGCCCGGCTGACTGGCGGGGCCCCGAGGGAAGTCCCGGGCGGCCTGGCCGGGCAGGGCACCCGGTTGGGTAGGCCAACCCCCCCAACACACTCACCTGTCTGGGGGTCTTGGACCCCCTTTTCGCTGTTGTTGGCCTCCCACAGGCATACCGGTCCGACCGGCCCGAAAAACCGTCCGTCGGGCCCCGGTAGGCCTGTGGGATTTTTGAAAAATTGTGACGACTCTGTGGCCGTCGATCCAACATGATCGACGGCCACAGAGCCCGTGGATCTAGGCGCAAAACTTCCCCCCGCTCAAAGCTGGGATCAACTGGGGTGGTCTGCCACTCTCCCCCCAGCACGATCGGAGTTGCTCCTGCGTTGTCCTGCTGTGCCGTCGCCCGTCGCCAGTCACGTGTCGCCCATCACCCGTCGCCCGTCGCCAGTCACCAGTTGCCCGTCGCCCATCGCCAGTCGCCCGTCGCCCATCGCCATCGCCATCGAGAGTCCTGCTGCAGCTGCTACGACGAAGGCCCCGACTGTCCTGCTGCAGCTGCTACGATGAAGGCCCCGACTGTCCTGCTGCTGCTGCTACGACAAAGGCGTTGTTCTTCTTCTTCCTGTCATAATCATTTAGGGTTGTGTTGGATGGGCAGACGAAGGCCCTGCTGCTAGGGTAACTGTTGCAGGTAACAATGAAGGCCCCGACGACGTTCTTCTTCTTCTTCTTCTTCTTCTTCTTCATGTCAAGTGAGATACGACAAGCCGTCCACCTACCCCCCCCCTTTTGGCTCGTCTTCTTCTTCTTCTTCTTCTTCTTCTTCTCCTCTCGTCTTCTTCGTCTTCCCCTCGTCCCCCTCACATTTTCATCTTCGTCAACCTTTCTTCTTTGTTGTCGTCTTCCCCTTCTCCCCCACTTGTTTTCTTTCTCCTCCTCCTCCTCCTCTTCTTCTTCTTCTTCTTTTCATTCTTCTTTTTCTTCTTCTCCTTCTCCTTCTCCTTCTTCTTCTTCATCTTCTAGTTTGTCAACATTTGGTAGGTCACGTGAGACACGACAGGTGGAAAAAAAAAGGCCATCCTCCTCCCCCTCCTTCTCCGCTTATCTTCTTCTTCTCCTCCTCTTCTCGTCGTCCTCTCGTCTTCTTCTTCTTACCCTCCTGCCCCTCGCGTTTTCATCTTTCTCCTCGACCTTTCTTGATCTTCTTCTTCTTCTCCTCCTCACCTCTCTTCTTATTTTTTTTTTTATTCTTCTTCTTCTCCTCCTTCTTCTTCTGGCCCATTCGCTAGGTCTTCTTCTTTCCTCTTCTTCTTCTTCCTGTCCTTCCCTACCCCCTCCCTGCCTTTCTTCATACCCTATGTGTCCCCCTCGGCCGTGGCCGAGTTTACGCGCGGCCGTGTCAGGGCCAGGCGCGGGCGCGCGCGCACCCTGCCTGCGCATGACGGCCACTACCACCCTGTACAAAAAAAAAATTGAAAATTGAAAATTTGGGGGGGTGGTTTTGGGTGAGTGACAAAAAAAATTAAAACAATAGAAAAAAAAATTGATTGGTTGATTGATTGGTGGGTGAGGGGTCCTCCCTCCCCTCCCCTTGGCACACGTGCACACACAACACACACACACACACACACACACACACACACACTCTTAGCGGAACACATGTACCAATGGCCCTAGCGTGGTTGGCACACCAATGGCCCTGCTCTCTCTCTCTCTCTCTCTCTCTCTCTCTCTCTCTCTCTCTCTCTCTCTCTCTCTCTCTCTCTCTCTCT